GAGAGAGAGAGAGAGAGAGAGAGAGAGAGAGAGAGAGAGAGAGAGAGAAGCTCCTTGGACAAAGTCCATTCTCATTTACTTATAAGCTATTGATAGTTGAGCATATTCCACCTCTTTGAACCTCCACTCCTCAGTCTTTAAAATGGGATAGTATTAGGCATGTAAAGCTCCTTGTACTGCATTTAGTAGAGTCAGAGGACCAAAGAAATGGCTAAAGGATATGCTTGTCAGACAAGCTGCTGCTCAGCCTAGGAAACAGAAAAGGGTTCAGAGGCAGGGCTGGCCCATGCTGGTCCAAATGGCTGGCAGAGGCCATTGGGTCCAGGTCCTGCAGCCCCACAGAAGGAACTGATGATCTAGAGGTGTACAACAGGCTGAGTCCCGGGAACACTCACCAACCTCCCACAGGCTTGGGTGCTCCAAGCACCCAATAAAAGTGAACCCCCAGCCAGGCAGAGCATTCTCCCTGAGCTCTCCTGAGTCTGAAGTCTGATTTTGTCAGCAGCTTTTTTAAGCTGAGTCAGTTATGACTGCACCCCACAGGAAGGACCTACTCCTGGCAGAGCAATCAAATTAAGGTTCTGCAACATCAAAACAGAGGCCTAGCTGTGGATTACAATGATTCACAAGGAAAACCTCTATGGGGGCTCTGTCCTAGCTGGCATTCTTGGGACATTGACTTCCCTGTATAGCAGATGGGAAGATCAAGTCACAGCCAGGCCTATGAGATAAATGACTCATTACTTTGGAAAATCTAGACATGCTCTGTAGCTCTTGGGTGAGCTGAAAGACAGACAGATGACTAAGTGGAGGCAATGGGCCTGAGAAGTCCCTACCCAGCCTCTGAGGCCTCAGCTATATGGACCCAAAAGTTTTAAAGAGAACCTGGGAGGATATCTCATGAACACAAGACCCTGGCCCTTGGAAGTTGCTCACAGACCCTAAACTGCCCCAGAGAGTGGGTATTTGTGGCACTGGGTGCAATGTTGGAGTTGTCATAGCATACAGCAGAATGGACATGCCATCCATCCATCCATCAGACCCCCACGTGGCCCTTGCTCTCCACAGATCAGTGCTGGGCCTGCTCTCAGTCCCATGGCAAGAAGACATGAGGGAGTGGGCGGAGTCAGGAAGTGTGGTCCAAGCTGTGATCATACAGAGGGAGTGAGAGAAGGTGCCTGACTCTAGCATGGCGAGTCTGAGCACGCTTCTGACAGGAAGTGATGCTGATGCTGAGACCGAAGGATGAAGAGGAAAGTGTCCCWGGCAGAGGGCATTGACTACACAAAGGCTGGAGCTGAAAGAGCACACAGAGTGCTTAGGAAACTGAATCTTCTGTTCAAGATAATAAAAGTTTTGAGCCTGTGGAAACTTGTACAAAGGTCAGCAGTGAAGTCTGGGAGGCCGGCCTTGCAGATCTGCTGAGCTCTGGGTTGTTACAGTATCATAGTTCTCTCAGAGGTGAAATGCAGGACTTGTCTTAACTTCCTGAATTCCTGATGCCTGAGAAGCCCTTTCCATCACACTGCACTGTGTGATCCTCCACGTACTCACTGTGAGGAAGTAGAATACAGGGCTCCTTCTTCACTGAGAGAGGAACATGGTAGGTGCCCAAAGAACCAGGACTCAAACCCCAAATCATTCCTTTGTCTTGTGTGGCCACCCCACACCTTCCAATATTGGATCCAGTTTCACACTGCATCCTCTCCTTCAACTTGGTATTGAACCCACAGAAAGCCAGCTGCAGCCTGCTCAGAAGAGCCAAGGCCCAGTTTCTAAGAGGTAAGGTCAAGTGTAAGGCTGAGACATCCTGGACATGGGGATCAGCCTATCAGATCAGTCATGTGCTATTGTCTTCCCTGCATACACCATGTGTAAGCTTCTTCTTGGTCTCACATGAAAAACTCATCATCTTCTCCTGGCTGGGTTCTTGTCCTCCCCCTGGGGTTACAGAGTCCAGTGGGMAAAAGGCTTAGCTGTCTGCTCCTCCTCAGGTGAGGTGCCCACCCTTTAGGAGGCATCTGCAGTGGCTGTAACTCCTCTGTCCCTGAGGCTGGGCGTGCACCTTTTCGTGGCTGGACAGCAACCAGGGGGTCTCATTCCTCCAGGTRCACTGGCTTTCTCAGATAGTAAAAATTGCTTGCATTTATTCTGAGATTCCATTCAGACCTGGGAGCCACTGAAAAGCAGAACTGTTAAGTCCAGGTCCTCTAAGGACACTGGCCTCAAAGCCAAGCCACGCCATCAAGACCTTGGCATGTAGGAGGATAAGAACTAGGTTTGAAAGTCTGGACTCCTCTCATTACTTCATGGGGCCTTGGCCTCCTTTGACCTCCTCTCTCTGTCAACATGAGCTGAGGCTTGGTGGTCCCTGGGGTTCCAGCCATGCCTGCCTCCTTCTATGCCCCAAGAGGTTCTACAGATTGCAGCAGCTGTCAGGGGGGATGGTGTGTGGACAGCACCCATGGGGATCAGTGGTTCTGGTGTTGCCAGGTGAGAGACTGTGTTTGTAAATATTCACCTGGCAGGAGGACCCAGCCCTCAGCAAGAGCTAGCCTCCTTTTGCCCCCAACCCCAGCACATCCCATGCCTTTTTCTCCAGTATAGACCCATTCAGAATACCAAGTAGTGACACAGTCTGGAGCACTGGGACTTCCTCCCACCTTACCATGTCCTTTGCTGACTCAGGACACATGGTGAAAGCAATAGCTCTTGTGATCCAGGATGGGAAAGAACAGGAAGAAAGGGGCCATAGAGGGTGGCATGTTGGCTCCAAGGTGGGAGGGTGGCAGAGGCAAAGCTCTGGAACATAACCCCTGTGGCAATGGCCCTGAGGCCAGTGGTTTGACTCCAAGAACCTTCTGCTAGTACAGCTCTCTGCCCCCGCCCCACCAGCACTCTAAACCATCAGTTTACTTGGATGACTCTGCAAGGAAGGACCACTTCCTAAACATCTCTGAAGCCTGAGTACTCCTCTCCACCTACCCAGTCCTGGGCCTGGTCCAGCCACTACCAAGGGCAGCCCAGAATGGTATACCAGACTTCTCATGGTTCTCCTTGCTCTCGCCTGCRCTTACACTGATGCCAAAGTTATTTTCCTGATAAATCAATGTGTCTATGTCATGCCACTGCTCCAAAACTTTATCTGGTTCCCTATTGCCTTAGTCTAAATGCCAAACTCATGCTGGCCCTCCATGCTCCTCATATTCTTCCCTTCCCTTAGACTCACACCAGTTTGTTTCTGTATCAGAAAGAAATAATAGAATTCTGGGTCTCTGCAAACCCCCAAGAACTTCAGAAATAGTGGGGAAGCTATGGTATCAAAGAATATCCTCAATTCCCAGTAAAAACTMCAAAAAGAAAATTACAACCTCTCCCAGGGCTTAGGCTCCAGGACCCCCAGCAAGCAAGCTTGGGAAAGGGCCCCAAAGGGGTTTCCAGTGCGAGACTGACCTTGGTCCAAATCCTAGCTCAGACCCTTGATAGCTGTGTWGCCTTGGGCAAATCACTGCACCCCTCTGGGCCTCACCTCAAACAATCTCATGGACAGAAAGTGGGATGCCAGGTACATAATAGAGGAAACACTGGGTAGACAGGAGCTAGCTGAAGCAGTTTACTCCCTTTCTTTGCCAGCCAAAGGAGCTCAAAGACAACTTGCAAAAGCAGATGCATTCACAYCCTACCTTTCCAGCGGGCTCCTGGCACTGAGAAGGTAGCTTAGCTGGTCCCACTAGAACCAGYGTCCCTTTACAGGGCCTGTGGGGCCCAGGGAAAGAGGTTACCACATCTTGATCAAAGCACGAAAGTGGCGAAGGCCCTGTCCCTGGGAACAGCTGATGGTAACAGCCGCCTGCTCTCAGAAGCCGGGAGTGGAGAGGTGTTAGCCGTGGAGGCAGTGGCTCCTGGGTGGCTGTGGGAGCAGGTCTGGCAGGAACCAGGGTACAGAGCAGCTCTGTGAGGAGCTACTGGCCCCTCAAGGCCCCCGCTGCCCCCCCTTCATCTGTACATGGGGCGGTGCTGGCTCTGATCAGCTGGAGCTAAGCAACCCAGCCTTAACCCTCACTCTGCCAGCTTGCCAGAGCCTCCGCCCACACCCCTCTGCACCTCCATTCACCCCACCTTGTCTTCAGTCCTGGAGGGGAGTCTACGGGGGGGGGCGGTTATCAAAGGACCAAGCCTTCTTACACATCCATCTGAGACACCGATTAGGGGCCAGGAGCTTTGTGCATGGACTGGTGACCTACCCTGAGCATGAGTGGCAGGGGTGGTAGGAAGTCATGGGGAGTGAGGGGGTGGGGATACCACATCACTGATGTTGAAGGAGGGTGGCGCCATCCACCCGGCACTCTGCCTCCAGCCTCTCCTGGGGGCCACCTCCACTCCACCCCCACAAGGTCACAACCAATCTTGGGAGAGAAAAGAAACTGGGCATAGTTTCAGATACAAACAATATCTACTCAGGGATGYTCTGGGGAGTAGGGTCAGAAGGTGGAGGATAGTTCATCTTCTCTACAGGACCCCAGGGCAGCACATCAGCCCCTCCCCATTGCTCCCTAAGAGGCATTCAGGGATGACCACCCTGGAGCTAGAACCCACACCCTCTCCTGCTGGAACCAAAGCCAAGTTCTCCGCAGCTTTRCCAGACTGGGGCACCTAGGTACCAGGCCTCCCAAGGAGAACCTCACTCTTTTGAGGTCAGTCTCCACAGAGTGTGGGGAGGGGGCTGGCTACTTCTGTAGTTCTTTCACTCTGTCCTTTGCAGCTTTTCACTCCTACTTCCCTGGCTAACATGTTGCTGGCTGGGCACACAAGGCACGCAGCTGTGCCTGCTAGTGAGGAAGACACACGCAGGTCACAGGGCCCAGTTCAACACCAACCCCAGGCCCTACCCCGACACCAGGTGCTTCTGGGCACTTCCCAGTCTGTTACTGACACTTCCCAGCCTACTGTTCCTCCAAATCCAGTCCACCTCCCTGCAACATGGCCTAGTGCTSCAAGCTCCCTCTTGAGACCTGTTTGCTCAACCTGCCTGGGAAATCCAAATCCCAGGCTTGTAATACCTTCCATGGGGCTGAAAAAACTTTCCATTGCTCACCCCATCTTCGGGGATAAGACATACAGACACCTTCTGCCTCAGCAGCCCACACCTGGAACTAGGCCCCCCATCTCCAGTCCTCCCTAATTAAAACTCACAGATACCTGAGGACCAAATTTTGACCCACGCAGCCCTTCTCCTTCCTCTTCGCAGGACCCTACTTTTCTCCTCCAGACACTGTTAAATCTTCGTTTAGTGCTTCCCAGGAAATTTAGTGGTCACAACAAAGTCCTGGTTGATGGAAAGCCATGGAGGATGCCGGGCTTGAAGTTGGGACAGCAGTTCTTTCCTAGGAAGCATGTGTTCCTATTGCCAGGTCAAGAACTGCATAGACCTTGCCAGGTGTGGTGGTGCACACCTGTAATCCCAAGCAGGAAGGCTGAGGTAGGAGGATTGTAAGTTCAAGAGCAGTCTCAGCAATTTAGCGAGGCCTTGTCTCAAAAAAAAAAAAAAAAAAAAAAAAAGCCAGGAATGTAGCTCAGTGGTAAAGCACCCCTGGGTTCAATTTCCAGTACTAAAAAACAACAAAAAAACACCTCTCACATGCACCCTGTAGCCACTGACCTGTGGAGACGCACATACGACAGACCGCGCTCAGCCCAACAACCACCCCATCTGCACAGGGATTCAAGCTCCTCTGTGTGAGGGGCTTTCTCTCCACTTTCCTCTTGGGTTTTAATTACAATCAAAGAACCACAGACGATTGGGGCAGAGATGGAACCTAGGGCATCCACGACTCTGGAACCGTCAGGGGATACCCACTRCACATCCCCCTAGAGAAAAAAAAGGGCCCATGATACTGGGTTGCTGAGTTACAATCTGAGCCTCCCTGTGGAGCCCAATTATAGCTCTGAAAGTGGAAGTAAGCCCCTGGACATGGAAAGGCCTAAAGTGTCCCAGCTTCACAAACTCACAGAGAACATAGCCCCTTTTAGCAGCCTTCACTACCCCTTTGYCCCCATCCTCACAACAGAACTTCTCAAAAATCTCACTCACCCAAGCCCTGGCCAGGGAACATGGACCCACATTCCTGATGACAACAACAGAAAGCCAGGCTCAAGCAGCACTTTCAGGAACTCAGAAAGAGGAGTACCTTGAGAAGAGAGGAGCAGACAGAAACACAGTATCTTTTCCAAGCTCTGAGATAAAGCTTGTACCTACCATGAATCAGGCATAGCAAAATTCTCAGAACAGAGGGTCAAGAGAAGCTAAAAMAATGGCAGCAGCTCTTTGGAAATATTTTCAGGGAATGATGACCAGGACTGATGGTCCTTGGATGAGCCAAGGTCCCAATTTCTTTCATTCCAAGACCCGGGAGAGCAGGCATAACCCCAGGGATACTGGTGGGGACCATGGACACCACACAGGCAGGGGGACACCGCCTGGCCAGGCCCTACTGTACAGGAAGCCAAATTCTGTGGTTGCAACATGATCCTTTCCCTTCCYAGTTGTGTCCACATTAGGACTGCCRGTGTCCTGGCCTCCGAAGCAGTGATCCAGTTCCCTCACTGGCACAAACTGTGGACACACCACAGGCCTCCAGTGAAGAACACATCTGCCAGGAGAGATGAGCTCTCAGAGTTCACCTGCACGTGGGCAGGGTACAGGTGGGATAGAGTGTAACTTCCTGCAGTTAGGAGGAAGTTCTTTGAGGTAGGAGGATCCTGACAAGATATGGTTGGAGTTACTGAGGTGGGAGGAGCAAGAGAGGAATTTGCTCACCTACTTTTTCACTTCTGGTCTGCTGGGAACACCTGCTCAGGAGGAAATTCATGAGACAGAGTCCGAGACACATCCTCCCATCCAGAGAGTGAGAGCAAGGTAACAGTGGAGACAGGGTGGGAAGGGAAGGAGAGCCAGGTGAGGACAGAGTGACACGGTGGGTTGGCAAGGCACAGGAAGAGCCTGTAAGATATTGGGGCACCTGACAAGAGCATTTACACAGTAGAGGGAAAGAGGCACAGCATGGCATTTAGCTGTAGAAGGCAAAAGATTGTGGTTGGTACTGTGTGTACGCCTAATTCCTTCCAAGCCACAGCCCACAAGCTAATGATGCCCACCAGCTCACCTGACCTAGCATCCTGGGAACTGGGGATACGAAAGCACCCCAGGCAAGCTGTGTCCCTCTATCCCTGCCAAAGGACTAACACTATAGCCAGGAGCCTGCCTGGCTCTTTTACCCACCATTCCAGGTATATTGTCCCTCTGTGTGCATTGACAATGAGCAAAACGGTTTTGCCTTTGGTTGAGGGTACATTTCCTGGAAAAATATGATACATAGCTTAATTTTCTGGCGAAATTTGATAAATAGCTTAATTTTCTTGGCTGTCCCATACACTGGCAAAATTCTTCTCAATTGCCTCAGGAAGGAATAAATTTAAATTTCTCTTCAGTTTAGCAAATCTGCACCCACCTGAGTCACCCCTCYGTGGCTCAGGGCTGAAGGGGGCAGTTGCAGTCTCAAATGGTCCTCCTGCCAGCAACCACCAAGTCCTATGGTACCCCTATGAGAGCAACCACAGGGTTAACACCAGGCTCCAGCAGCCCAGCCCTTAGCTGGGCAGGGAGTACTGGGAACTCAGGCCTCCTTTTCAAGACCAGGATGAATGGGGGATATGCAAATGGCCGCCTCCCCAAGGAGCAAGGAGCGAGGAGGGCAGGGGAGGGCTTGTGGCTGGCAGGCCTGCAGCACTCCACTTGGCCTGTCACATGAAAGGGTTTGTACTCCTGCTGCTGGCTCCGGTGCCCAGCCAGGCTAGGGCTGTTCTCACCAGAAAACAAAAATCTCTTTCAGACCAAAGCAAAACGAGGCCCCAGCTGGCCCAGGAAGGCCATTGGACATTGTTCTCGCTGACCCAAGGAGAGCACCCATCACTTGAATTCTCACTTTTCACCCACTGAAAAGAAACCCACCATCTTTCCAGAGGGAGCTGGAGGAGCTCTGTGGCCACAGAGAAGAGCACCATGTAAGGTCAGGGTGGGTGGGACCAAGAAATAGGGTCACCCCTTCTGAGGCTCTCTGTGGGCATTATCCTTTTCAAAAATATGAATGGCTGAGACTGAGGTAGCAGCCTTTTTTGGAGAAGGACATTTCAGTGATTCTTGTGGAGCTCATGGTAAACACAGAGAAAGAAATGGAAAAAAAAAAAAAGGTGCTGCTAAACAAGAACACCTTGGAGTGTTCAGAGGACTTTTAAGAATGGAGACCTCATGTATACCCTGCCAGGCACCCACAGCACTGCTGACACCATGCCCTCAAGCTGTGGGAGGAGTTTATGGTAACCCAGAGCCCAGTGTATGGGATCACAAGCTTCCAGGACAGTCCAGGGCCCAGATACCTTCTTCAATAGAAGCACCACAGCAAGGTCAGTCTCCAATCTTTTTCAGACTTTTAGCTGCTAGAAACGCTGTTTTTCTGCCACTCTAGGGTCACCAGGAGCTGTCCATTAATTGCTGCATAAATCTTGTACCCCAGGAGCACAGATGCGACTTGGACTAAGGGGAGACAATGACACAGCAAGATCATTTAGCCTGAGAGCACATCTAGGACAAAACCACTTAGGAAAGAATTCAGAACCAACAGGAAGGCTAGTGGGTGCTTGAATAGATGTCCCACGACTCAAGGGAGATAGGACTTGTCAGCTCCTCCGCCCAAATAAAAGGCCCAGCTCTGAAAGGTTGACGGTCCACTGTCGCCTTCCTCCTTGGGTCTTTCTGCTTTTAGTTGGGAACACATAGCGTGCATGTGAAGCTACGATGCAGACATGTCTGTGAGAGTTCAGGGAGCCATCCAGGGAGGAAAATTAAGAGGCAGCAGGGGGACAGAGAGAGGACACTTCAGAACAGATTTTTTTTTTTTAAGTGGGCTTCACAGGTAACCACCTACCCTTCTGTCTGGCCTGTGGCAAGGAGATCAGGGTCACATGTACCCAAATCCCCCACCAGCCCACAGGCTAAGGGAAGGCCTGCCTTCCCCTAGACAGATTCAAAATTTGGGAGGAGGTGCCCAGAGGCAGAGTGGGGCTGAGCATGGTAAGTTAAGGGTGTCCTCCAGAGAACCATATCCAGGTCTGGAAGGTAAAGTCACTCAACGCTCAACAAGGTCTCTGACCACTAAGCAGGATCCTGGGTCCTAAGTGACTTTAGGTAACCCTAGCACTAGAAGCAGAACAAAAAGGCCAGAAGTGCTGACTCTTTCRAAAGGGTCTCAGCTGTGTCCCCCTTCTTCATTCTGATAATTGTCCCCTCTCATAGACCTGGGAACATCAGTGACCAGCCTCCAGCCAACCTCCTTGTCCACTCTCATTGGCTGGCCACATCCTACCTTGCTGCTCTGTCTCAGCTCTAACTGTCCTTGCTGTGTGGCCTCTGTCTGACCTTTCTGTTCACTCTCTGGTTGACCTCACTATCAATTGGCTTTTCTRCCTATTTGATACGATCTCTGATCAGGGTCCAGAGTGGTCTATAGCTAGGGCTGGGATGGGTGGGCAGATAGAGCTCCACAGAAGAGCTTAAGGCTCAACAACAGTTCACACACTGCAGGGGAAAACAGGGCTTTGTAGCAGGGCAAGTCCTACTTAGTCCTTCAGGGTCCAATTTCTTTCTCTTTTTTTATACATTTATTTTGTTTATTTATTTTTATGTGGTGCTAAGGATCGAACCCAAGACCTCACATATGCTAGGCSAGCGCTCTATCGCTGAGCCACAACCCCAGCCCCCAGGGTCCACTTTCTATATACTTGGGCCACACACTTCTGGGAGTGCGGCAGGGTCCTAGGAACTGTTTAATGGGGACTGTCTCATAGGTGCCCATTCAACCTGGACTTGCCTGTGCTCTCTCTCTCATTCCTCCTATGCCAGTCCTAGAGATCTGTCCCTGGTCCCAACAGGTGCCAATCCAGATTTGTTTGTCCCAAGGTCTGCAAAATGTCCTAACTTTCTGCTCGAAAGCCCCAGAAGGCAACTATCTTGGAATATAGGCCTGAATGGGCAGATGGCAAGCCAGAAGTAGCTACCCCTAATTCTCCTTGGACACCKCGACAAACTCTAGCTGAATGCCTGGACTAAGTGTGGGGAAAGGAAGGGTGTCTCTGGGAAAACTAGGTGAATAGTCAGGTAGGACTACTTGGAATATTAAATCTTTCAGACTCTTGAGACTACTGATTGGGTCTYCAAATAGCTCAAATTGGCTCAGACTTTCCCACCCTACTTCCTACTTTCCCACTTCTGTCTATCAAAGACTGCAAGCTTCACATGAATCAGGGGTTACACAAAGAACCTAAGCACACTGCCAGGGAGGTCACTGAACAGGTGAGTGAATGATGGGGAACACCCCTGGGCCTAAAGCAGCATGTCACCCACAGCATTCCCCTCCCCCACCAATTCTGGGCCCAATGACTGGTTGGTGGGAACTCCTGTGAGACCAACACAAGGAATGGGGCTATCATACCAGGCCATCCATGAGGTGAGGACCTTGACTGGACATTCCTTTTGGCTATGCTTGACAGAGTGGCCAGAACTCCAAGTTTGCCAGGAGGCTAGAACCTTGGAGCTCTAAGGAAACATCAGTTCTCAAAAAAGACTACCTTCCCCATAACGAGTTCCTCCTGAAGCTGTGAGTTGATTCGTTCATTCATTCTTTCATTCATCAAGCCCTTTCGGAGATCCTGCCACTGCTTCTGTTCCAGGCTGCACTCATTCTCAGCATTCAAGGTTATCCAGTGAAGGCTGACCTAGACCTGCCAACAAGGAATTCACACCTGCTTTTCCCTGTTGCTTTCACCATATTGACATCTTCCCCCAGCTTAGCATAGAGCTTGGCATTTTAATAGATGCACACTAAAAGTCTGTTGTCTGCTGATTGACTTATTGTGGTGAGAAAACGGCTTATAAAATAAATGCATCTTTACTTATAAATATATCATTATTAAAATAAATTATTCCCAGGGAATAATTTATTTTACACTCTGGTGTACACTGCATGTCTACCCTGGGCTGSGGACACAGAGATAAGACATCCTGGCTCTGCCCTCAAGGAGATCATAGGACTTATGGAAAAGGTCAAGCACTGCTGTTCAGTGGAACATGTGTCACTAAGAGATGCATATGGCTTGTCTAGCACAGGGATGGTATCATTCTGGCCATCCATATTCCCAGTTCCAGCCATATCTCCTGATGGCTACCATACAGAATAATGTCAACATGGTGTGGCGGGCATTCTGGCCTATGGAGCCCAGCCTGGCAACCTCACTGGCAAGCAGAATTTGTCCCTCAACTTCATTCATTCCTGTTGACAATCTTTTCTCATACCCATCCCTCTGTCTGCTATGCCTTTTCTTTCCCTACTTCCTTTTTTGCATATTGAAATCCTGKAACGTCCATGGACTGAAAGTCTAAGGATGTGGGTATGACTCAGCTCTTGCAGGTTGTTTCCCCATTAAATCTCCCTGGGTCTCAGTGCTTCAAGGCTAACAATGCCACAGGGCTGTAGGAAGAATGAAGGATATCTTGAAGAATCATAGAATATGGTTATTAACAATATAGTAGCTGCTCGGTAAGAGTAGCTAAATCAGCCAGGACAGTGGCACACACCTGTAATCCCAGAGATAGGAGGATTGAGAGTTCAAAGTCAGCTTCAGCAACTTAGTGAGGCCCTAAACAACTCTTATCGCTAAATAAAATACAAAAAAAAAAAAAAAAGGCTAGGACGTGGCTCAATGGTTGAGTGCTCTTGTGTTTGATCCCCAGAATCCCCCTCCAAAAGTAGCTAAGTTTTCAGCAATGCTCCCCACACATACACATATACACACCCAGAACTTCATTCAATGAACATCTGAGTGACTACATGTGTCAGTGTTGGCCAGATATACAGTATAGCTTCTGTTATTCAAAAGCCTAATTTTCACTTCTTTTTGCAAACATGTCAGAACCTCATCCTCACTCACCTCACCATATGCATGGCACACCCCTGGTTCTATCTGGTGCTGTAGCTGAGCCAAATTTAGCCTTCTGAAGGTCATCCTAAAAGCCCTTATACTCACAAGAGAAAAAAACAGCTAAAGAGCGGAATGGCTGGTTCTGCCGCCCCCTGGTGTCAGTGTGCTCTTGCAGGAGCATCCCACCACCACCAGGCTGTAGAGAGGAAATGTTTCTGAGGTCAGACTCTCCCACAGGGTGACAGACCCTGTGCCAATGCAGGCTTTCTTCTTTTGTGAGGCATATCCCTAGCTGACCAGACAGCTGTCTGTTCTGCCTGGAGTTCCAGCACCATCTGTCTCAATTTTTGGCTGCCTTCTTGGGCCTCCTTGAGTGGCTCTAGACCTCATTCTAGTTTTCACTGCTAGTGGAAGCCTGGGGGGAGGGGTAGAATCTGATGGGGTTGAGCTGAGCAGGGTGTGCAATTCTGCACCTGCCCTGGCAACTGAAGCCAGATGCCTACCTTTCYAGTCTTTGAACTGGCAGTTCTGCCTCTACCCACCAGGGCCAGTTCCACTTCCCCTAGGGTAAGGACCAGGGCTGGGGCCTCATCCCTTCCCCTTTCTAGAGTCTAGCCTCAACTCACACCATTCTTAGGCCATATCTACTTTTACCCATAATATTATAACAGGCTCCCATCACATTTCTGGCCTCTACTCTCCTCCCCATGGCTCAACTTGGCCACTGTGGCTAAATAGAGGGTTCCTCTACCCATCTCTCACCCCAAATAAAACCCATTCCTCCATGACCTCCTTCTACAAATCAGGTTGCCCTGGCACAAGATGCTGGAGACATACAAACACACAAACATACACACACACACACACACACACACACACACACAATGATACACTACCTTGGTTTTCTCTGCACACATTTGCTGGTCTGGACTTTCTCTACTAGCCTCTGAAAAACACTCCATTATGCCACAGAAGCCTACTCAGACATTCCAGTGATCAGGTATGCAATTGAGCAGATTGGACCCTGTACAAGGGTATGGAACTATATCAGCTTAGGACACCCTAAGGATACCCTTTGAGAAATCTATCTACCAAGAATGATGCCTCTTTCTACTTTGTACAAAGGAGCCACATAGGAAACTAGAAATTCTAATCCATTTGCTCCCAGGTGTCCTCTGAGTGCTTATGGCACATTTTCTCATGACAGGAATAGTGTCTGACTTACACTGGACCTCTTTTATTTGTCTCGTTGTTTACTACAAAACTCAGTTAAAACCCGGGCTGACTCAGGACTCAGTGTAGCCCAGAACACATGGTTGACAGCCCCTCTTCCAGGTGACTCCCCTCTCCTCCTTTACACCATTCTCTCCTTGAAGACCCTGAGGTCTTCTGTCTGCCCAACCGTGTTTCCATCCTTTCCAGATTGGGAAGTAAAAAAGCACAAAACTCTGTATTAAAGAGTGACATTGGCTTGGGGATCCCCGCCTATTGCTGGCTGAGTGGAAGGAATATCTTGCAGTTGCCACAGGACCCTGGATTACAAGGCATATGTTACAAGGCACAGTGCATTCTCAGGTGTGTTCACTAATCTACAGTTCTTACCCCCCGAGAAAGGCTGGGGTCCAGGTAAAGTTCCAAGGAATGTGGACACATGACCTAGGAAAGCCCCACTATGTCTGTGGTGTATTCCATCCAATGAGAACCATGCACCAGCACCAACCTCCTACTCTGCCTTGAAATGCTTGGTCTCTATTGAAGCAGCTATTATCTGCCCCCACTTTTAGGTCCACTTTTAGGTCCCTGGATAGTCCCATAGAAAGGCAAGTCCCCTCATTTTCTATCCAAGGAGATGTCTGGCCACTTTGGGAAATGTTCCACAAGGAAGCAGGACAGAAGGCTAGTTTAAGTTGTTGACGACTGATCTTGGCTTATAGACAAGAACCCCATACACTGAGGGAGTTTTTCTCACAAGCTGTTGAYGACCCTTGTCACCAAGTGGTCTTGCAGCCCCTAGACACCTCCCTGAATCCACAGAATACCAGATTTTCAGAGAGCTTCTTTTGAACCCATGGCTGGATGGGGCCTCCTGTGGGTAGGGCTAAGGAGTCTTAGCACAGGGGAGAAGCTCTGAGACCATCCATCACTCAATAAATGGTGACTATTACTATCATCATCATCATCATCATCATCACCACTACCACCACTATCATGATTTTGATTATGCCTGACTCCAGTGCTAGCACTGGCCTTGCCTGTTGGGTGTGTATCAAGACCAGAGAGGCCATGCACAGCCTGTCATCAGACACTGGCAGACAGAAGGAGCTTAGGGAGCTGAAGAGATTAGGGAGGTATTACTCCCCCAACACAGGGGGAGTATCCCTGTGGCCTAACTTAGGACAGCAGTGGGGGAGGGGGAAGTGATTACCTGGCCCATCAACCCTTCAGGTTCAGGTCAGTTACAATCAAACACCTGGCACTGGTTGATGAGTTCAAACCTCAGATCAAATCCCAGTCTACTAGATATTCATGTGACATTGGGCAAGTTGATTAACCTCTGAATCAAAAAGAGATAAGACCAACCTCCTAGGATTTTCTGTGAATATTAAATAACATGCAAAATCATTGATAAGGATCTCTAATGGGTCAACTTCTTCCCCTTTTTTGGCTCAGTAAAAACTTCACCACCATCTCTGATAATGATGATGTTTAAATGTAAAATAATAATAAACACTGACATTCATAGGACATTTGCTCTAGGCTAGGTCAGGTTGAAGGCCAGTTTAAGGGTAAGCACTTCACATAAGTAATTGAGCAGAATCTGCACATGGGGGTGGGACTGTAGGTGAGGGTATTATACTCAGGAGGACCCAAAGGCTCAGTCAGAGAAAGGCCAGTACCCAGGTGTGGGTGTATGGGGGTTGAAGGAAGCGCCTAGCAAAGATCCAACAGGGATACTCATAGACTGCTAAGAGGGTGCAGGGATAAGGAATGAGAGCAAAGAGAAGGGAGTGGAAGCAGTGAGGACATAGCCCCAGGCAGAGCCGGGGCAGAAGAACCCAGTTTTATAGCAATCTTCTACTCTGGCAGGAGGGCAAGCAGGGAGTGATTGTAAGGAGGTCCCTGGCAGGGATTCAGAACCCTGATCAGTCCCGGTTACACACTGACCACCTACTGCGGGACCTAAGAGCCAACATCCTTGGTTTCTGGTCCCAATAAATGAACAAGGTCGCAATAAGTCTGTCCCCACTTTGGCTCAGGGCCTAATCTGATCAGCAGGTYCTCACAATAAGAGGAGAGGGGCGCTAGAAGCCAATGGAGGTTGGAGTCGCAATGAGCAAGGCCCCCCCCCCATCTCCGCAGACCCAGCTGCTTCCCAAACCCCGCCCAGAGCCCGCCGGAATTGGGGGCGACCTAGAGACCTTGAAGGGACAGCCAGCAGCCCGGGCGGGGGACTCCACAGCCGCGGGAGTGTAACACCCGCACCTTGGGCCAAGACAGCATAGCTTACGGGAGATGGAGGTCCCGGACCAACAAGGACGACGCAGGGACTTACCCACTAACAGCCAAAGGGAACCCCCCGACACCAGGAAGAAGGTCAGCATGTCGGTCAGCCGGGCCCAGCCTGGCCCGGCACGGCCTCCAGGGCCCGCAGCCCCACAGCCCCACTGTAGCCGCGCTGCCGCGCCGCCGCTGGGTATTTTTAGCCCCCGCCTCCCGGCTCCGCAGCTCCCYGCCTCCCTGCGCCGCTGCGGAGACTGGGCGGGAGGGGGAGGGCGCGGCGCGCGCTTCGCACCAGAGCCCCACTCCCCGCCCGCAGCCTGGCCGGGTCGGGGCTCCTCCCGCGCCGCAGCCTCGGAACCGCCGAGCCCGGGCGGGGGAGGGGTCGCAGCRAGCACCAGCCCTCTCGGCCTCCGCCCCCCCGCAACGTTCTGGGGAAACGGGCTGGAGTGGGGCGCACGGGCGACGAGCAGTCGTCACCCACCCCACCAACGCGCAACCCTTACCTCCGCGCGACCCCGCGGTCTGGGTTTTATTGCTAGGCAGGCTCCGGTGGGAGCAAGTCGCAGTCACTTGTCTGAGGGGTTGCAAAAGCTGATGGGCTGAGTGCCCACTGAGCGCCCACCCTCCATCGGATCTAGTTTGAAGAACTGACAGCCTGTGGGTGCCACATCTGCGATCCAGTGAGGGAGCCATAAGGGTCTACCTAGGTTCTGCAAAGTAGTGCCCAGATCTTTTGGTGATGCACAAAGTCAGATCTGGGGCTGCACAAGGTYACAGAAGCTTCATGTGGTCCTGGGCTGCCAAATGTGGTCACCAGTTATAAGCATGCCACATGAAGTCACAGGCAGCCACATGGAATCACGGGTGTCCCATGAGGACAGAGACTTTCATGGTCTTCATATACAACAGTGTGTAGCACATGAGGTCTCAAGCCCTTCATTAACTACTATGAAAGGCCATACAGCCACTCAGTCTCAAATGGTCCTACAGCTGACTGAGGTTTGGACATCATTTCAGTGCCTGAGACTAAAAGGAGGAAGCCCAGTTGCATAGTTTTTTTTTTGAAATAAGAGCAGGCATCCCGATAGGGTCTCATAGACATTTACACCTCGATTTCAGGATCACCTCCTCCCAAAGGTCTTGTTTCCCAAACATGCTAAGTCTACTAAGCTTCCAGCACCGAGGACAGCGCTCAGGCAGCCCTGCCCTCTCCACATGCACCCTATCAACCCTGGAACCGGTTAMGAACCCAGGAAGAAAAGGGTAGGAAACTAGAGAACAGAGATCAGAAAGCTGATGGTGGACAGATGAGACCACTTGCCCTGTGTGCATGTAAGCCCACAACTCAGCAGGTAGGTGTGGGGACCTATATCCATAGCATGAGTATCTGGCATGTGTGCACCCAGGTCTGTCAGTGTGCAATTTATAAAGGCACAAGTCTGCAGATGTGTCACTTTCAGTCTTTAAAATAGAATCTTTTCACAGGCTCTGGATCCTGGGAGAGCTGCTCTTGCTTGAACTCAGGCGCAGCCTGGCAAGGACTTTGCTGAAATCTCAAACTTTGCAGGGTTCCTCCAAGAGGTGTCAGAGRCTGTGTGACAGGATCCCTCCCAGCAGGTGACACAGTTGTCAGAATCCCTCCCCCAATACCACACTCCCACTGGCAGCAGACTAACTGAAGACACAGAGGTTATCAGGACACTCAGGAGAAACCAGAAGACTGGGCAGAAAGAATGTATCTCCCCAAATYAGATTAGCCTAGGGATTTTGGCAGACAATTTCTCCTTAGGCCAGGGAACCAATAGAGTGAGTGTTTCTTCACAGAGTAAGGGGCCCAGGATCAGGCAGAAGTCACAGGCCCCGTCTTCCTCCGCAGCACTGAGAGCTGCAGGAGTGCTCCAAGCCCCTGGGTGGCTCCTGGCAGCCTCCTCTCCAGAGTGATGTCATGGGACACATTTAGCCTGGCCTCCTGCAGAATGTCGCATCCGGTTACTTTTCCTACAGATGTCTCTGCTCCTTGCGAATTTTTTTGATTCAAAAACCTATGTAGGAGCTGTGACTGAGTATTTTTCTGTTTTCCTGAGTATGACTTGGCTTCTCCTGAGGGATGGAAACAGGAAGGTCCTGTGCCTGGCTGTGGGATCATGGCCAGGTCTCTCTCCTCTCCAGTGGGTAAGGAGATTTGTTCTTTTCTGTCCTGGGTTCCCAAGGTCTCCTTCCTTCTTTGTGGATGCTCCATTCATGGACCATCCATGGGCAGCTGTGACTCTGAGGCTTCTAGACTTCTTGAGTGCCACAGCCATGGAACCCAGCAGGAAGGAACCCAGAGTCATGCTGTAGGGTGGAGGGAGCTGGTGGCCTCTTAGACATTCCTCCTGGTCAGCAACAGTGGTGGGCAACTCTGTTCACACTGATTTCCACCCACACTAGCATCTTTGAGGGCTAGCAATTGTTTTCAACCCTAGCTCAGGGTCTGGCCCAGTGAGTACAGAGAGCACTATCCCTTTTGGCAGGGCAGAACATCTGCTCAGACCACAGAGCAGTTCTGGCCTCCTCCTATCCATTCACTMTTTTAGCTTATGTCCACCTCTAGGTACCCTTTGTCTGGCCTCCTGCTGGAACTTGGAGGCAGGGGAGACAAATCAGAAACAACAATAGCAGTAGTCTAGCATGGTGAGCTTGGTGACAGAGGACTGATCCTATTCTAACCAGGGCAAGGTCTCCTAGTGGAGGAAATATTCAACTTGAACCATAAATCTTTGTGTGAGAGTTTGCCAGGCTTCAAAGTGGGGCAAAGTATACCATTTCTAGACCYGTGTCTGTTTCTGTCATGCCATGCAGCCCTGGGTAAGCTTCTGCCCYTTTCTGTGTTCATTGGTACAAGGAAGTGCTGATCCAGAGACTTCAAAACCCATTAGGCAAGACTCTGCTGCCTTTTTTATCATCACAGTTGAATGGTCACCCTCTAGGCCTGAAAGGCACAGTGTCCACTGCATTCTGTCTGTTAGTGGCWCTAAGAAACAGCCTAAGATGAGCTCAGCCATTATGGGTTCAGGTTTTCCTGCTCCTATGACATCTGGAATATTTTTCTTCTCTGACATTGTCGGGGGGCTCAGTTATTTGTATCTCCCAGGCCTTTTTGAACACTTATATTCTGTTAGTGTCTCACATTGTAATTATATCTTTCCAATGAAGCTCAGAAAATTCTCTTTTTCAGCCTCTCTTAGGCTGGTCCTTCCTAAGGGTCTTAGAATTTTTCAGTGYGAGATGCCTCCATGAGTCTTTGATCCCAAAGCTAGTAATATAGTGCTATATGTAGCAATATAGTGCTATATTCTATATTCAATATAGAAATAAGGGCAGCCATCTTATTAGCACAAGGATGGTAGCAGAAGCAATGGTTGACAGATGATTCTTGGAATTATTACTGAAAGATGAAATTTGAGGCTCTTTCTTTCTTTCAGTACCAGGGATTATTGAACCCAGGGGCACTTTACCACTGAGCCACATCTCCAGCCCTTTTTTATATTGTTATTTTGAGATAGGGTCTGCCCTGTCTAGAGCAAAGGCTTTGAAGACAAGATGAAATGGTTGGAGGCTGGCAAACACTCAATGCATGGACCCCAACCAAAGATTAATAACATTTTTCAATTTGGAAAATATAGAAAAATATGAATTGAAATCACTTGTATTCTATCCCCCAAAGATAATAACCAGTACAATTTTGCATATTTTCTGATAACAATAGCATCTCACATTTATGTAGTGTTTAGTATATGCCAGGCATTATTTCTAGACACTTTACATGTTATGGACTGGCTTGTGTTCCCCTCAATTCATATATTGAAGCCCTAACCCTCAATGTGACTGTATTTAGAAATAGAGACTTTAAGGACACAATTAAGGTTAACTGAGTTCATAAAGGTGGAACACTAATACAAAAGGACTATTGTCCTGATAAGAAGAGACACCAGGAATAAAAGTCACGTGAGGACACCAAGGGAAAGAGGTCATCTGCAAGCCCAGGAGAAAGGTCTCAAAAGAAACCAATTCTGACATCACACTGATTTTGGATTTCCATCCTCCAGATATGTGTGMAAATAAATTTTTTTTGTTTAAGCCACCCAGTCTGTGGTATTTTATTATTAAATTTCTAGCATAACAAGACAATATGCTAACACATTTAATGCATAAAYATTGTTTTCTATCCTTGTATTGCACAATTTAATAAGTGTTTATTAAATGAATGAATGAATGGTAGATACTGTTATGGTTGAGATCTGRACTCTCCCCCAAAGACAGCTCATGTGTTGACAGCTTGGTCCCCAATGCAGCAATATTCAGAGGTAGCTATATGCAGAGCAGTATTTACTTGCTTTGGGCAAGTGACTGTATCTAACCTCTTCAATCTATTGATATATTCATAATTTAYATGGATTTAGAAGGTAGTAGAAACTGTAGGAGGTGGGCCTAGTTAAAGGGAGTAGATCCTTGGAAACTATATCTTCTCCCCAGAACATTTCCTTCTCTCTCTCTCTCTCCCTGTTTCCAGGAAGCTTTGCTCTGCCACACCCTTGCCTCCATGCTATTCTGCCTCACTACAGACCCACAGTAATAGGATCAAGATACTATGGGCTAAAAACCTCTCAAACTGCAAGCCAAAATAAATCTTTCCTCCTTTAAGTTGATTTTCTCAGGTATTTTGTCATAGTGACAAAAAGTTAACACAAATATTGTTTATTCAGTACCATATGCTTTTTAAAAACTTGACAATTAAGTATTTCCCCCATACTATTACTTAATTACATTTTTAAAATAGACAGTAAATGTTGCATCCCCACAGTACGCAAGGCACTGTTCTAGGTTCTGGGAATATAACAGTGAACAAACAAAAAATCTTGCCCACATRGAATGCAATTGTTCCATGGAAATGCCTTTGCCCAACTGTCAGACAGGAATTAGCCCACTTTGGGAATGTTTCTTTTAATGAAAATTCTCTGATGAGTAAACCAGAGAGAGTCACAATTAATAAGATCCTTTTCCTTTTAAAAGGCCAATTAACAACTGAAGGGGGCTGGGGATGTGGCTCAAGCGGTAGCGTGCTCGCCTGACATGTGTGCAGCCCGGGTTTGATCCTCAGC